AGCCGGGATGGGTTGAAGCTGGGATGGATTGAAGCCGGGATGGGTGATTCCCGGTGCCACAGGCCACCAGCACTGCTGGCACCATGAAGCCACCCAGGGATGGGCTGTGTTCATGACTGATCCCAGCTTTCCTTCAAAAGCACCAGCAGCAGGTGTGTCCCGGGCCAGCTGCCTGCCAGGCTGAGCATCTCCTCCCTTGCTGGGAGCGACTGGCACGGAGATGGCACTGGGAGCCTGCAGCTACCTCGCAGGGCACTGTGGAGGCACACGGAGCACCCTGAGCATGTGTTTGCTGCCATGCTGCCATGCCTCCGAGCCTGGAGTGACACAGCCCTGGTGGCACAGGGGGTCATTTACCCAGGGAAGCTGAAATTTGGGATGTTACCCTTGGGGCTGCAATGTGTGAAAAATCTCTGTTCCCCTTCTCTTACTGGGCTGTGCCTGGAGGGGACAGGGCAGAGCCACATGTGCCTCATGGTGCTGATCCCACTGTCCCTCCAGAGGGGCAGAGCTCATGGACCAGGCTCTCCAAGGGAAGCTGCCTGCAACACCAGGACCAAAACCTTAGGAATTTGCCCCAGAGAGCCTGGCATTGCCTGCAGTGCCCTGGCAGTCTCCTGTCCAAAGCTGCCCAACCACCTCTGCCGGGCACTTTTAAACAGTGCGGGGCTTTGTGGCTTTGATGTGCCTCTTATCGGCTTTATCTGCCATGGAGAGGGGTTTAGGGCACTGATACTCCGTGGGGAGTTAACCCTGCCTGTGCCAGGCAGCTGCAGCTCTGGGCCCCGGGGCACCCAACGAGGCACAGTGCCCACCATGGCTGGGGTCTGCCAGCCTGCCAGGGCCACATCCTCCAGCTCAGCCAGCCACTCCCAAATGCAAACCCTTGTTTTCTGTTCTAATAACACATCCTGGATATCACCATAATCCCGGCTTCCCAGAGCCAAAATCTGGCCTTAGTCACAGCTTCAGGCTATTTTTGCTTCTCCCAGCTAATCCTGGGCTGAGCTGTGCTGTGGTGGCCCCACAGCACCTCCAAAGGCAGGGCTGCCTGGGGATGCCTCCCCTCCCTCCCACAGCCTCTTGCTGCCTTTGTCTGGCCCTGGCACCACTCTGCCCGTGCTGTGCAGGTGCTGGCATCACTGTGGGTCCTCTCTACTGTGAGAGGGGCAGAGCACACCCACCTGATCCTGGCTGTGTGATGCAAAGGTTCTGGGCTGGGCAGCACCAGAGAACAATTTGGGGCTGGGAATACCCTGATCTGACCCTGGTTCCACCACAGTCCATGCCAGCTGCACACCCACTCCCTTGGCACCCTGCTAACATGAGCCCCTCTGTCCCACTGTGGAGCAGGGCTTGGGGGCAGATCAGCTCCTCTGTGACTGGGCAGGGCATGGGGCTGGCAGCACTTTGCTGTGGCTGGTGCCACCTCCCACCACCAGGGCTGGGTGATGCTGGGGATGCTCTGTGCTGCTGAGAGGATGAGGATGCTGCAATTCATCCCTGGCGCTGCCCCTGGATGGTTTTTCTCCCACGCTCTCAGCTGGTTTCTCAGCACCCCACACCTCTGGGGATCTCAGCACCACAGCTGGGCACCCCTGGGCTGGGCACGCCCAGCTGGGAGCTGCTGCTCCCACTAAGCTCCCTGAGCCCTGGCAGAGTGGCAGATGGTGAGGGGGAGGCGTGAGCTGCCTCGCGTGGGTGATGGGGGCCAGAGACAGACCCAGCCTCCTTCCCCTTCCACCGCACGGGGCTGGGGTCCTGCTGGGCTGGGCAGGGGTGAACAAGTTCTGGGAGCAGCTAGGGACAGCCAGCAGCCACATGGAGCTCTGGCTTCACCTCCCAGAGCGGGGCTGGGAGTGCTGTGCTGCTGTTTGTGCCCCCTGAGGTGGCCCCAAGGCCTCGGGGGCAGCTGTGTCTCCTTTCAGACAGCAACTTCATCCTGGCCAACGCTCAGGGCCGCTGTGGCTTCCCCATCGTGTACTGCTCCGATGGCTTCTGCGACCTCACCGGCTTCGCGCGCACCGAGGTCATGCAGAAGAACTGCAGCTGCCGCTTCCTCTGCGGGGCTGACACCAGTGAGCCCGCCCTGCAGGGCATCGAGAAGGCCCTGGACAGCAGGCAGGAGTACCAGACTGAGGTCTGCTTCTACAAAAAGAGCGGTGAGTGGCACGTGGGGCTGGGTACCGGGCACAGCTGCAGATGGGATTGGCCCCGTTGTGGTCTCGTGGTGTCTCGGTTTGGAAAGACAGGAGTCTGCTAAGGCAGGCAGGAGCCTCCCCTGAAATGGAGAATGTAAACCCTCCCCACCCATCTGAATTGCTATAAATTTTAAATTAAGGGGAGCTCTCAGGCAAAAAATATGGGAGCAGGAAATAACAGTTTTTCAATATGGAAGAAAATAAAAGGATAAAATAAACAATGCAGTCTAACTAAACCAACACTGACAGAATCAGAACCCAACCTGACACCCTGTGGGTCAGGGTGTTGGTGGCAGTCCCATTGGAATTGTGGCTTAGCCCTCCTGCAGTGGTTCTGTTGGAGCAGGGATCCTGTAGAAAGGTGCAGTCTCTTCCTCTGAAGATCCAGGGGAACAAGAGTCAGCTGCTGTTCCTCTGGGGAATCCAGTGGAGAAGCTGTGCTGGTGTTCCAGAATCTCCAGATTATATCCAGGCAGGAATGCTTGGCTCCTCCCTCTGGGCTCACATCTCCCAATGGGATGCTGTAGCTGTTACCAGCAGATGTCTCCTTGGAGGGAGGAGTGATTGTGATCATTGAGAGAGAGATAAGGCAAACTGCCCACTTGACAAAAGACAGCTGCCATACAGATGGCAATAGAACACATCCTGCCTTGCAATGGACCACCTGGCCTCACCAGGTGGAAGCTGCTGACCACTGAGGGAGCTGCCCCTGCCCTCACCAACTCTCTCCTGCACCCAGGAGCTGCCTTCTGGTGCCTGCTGGACATCATGCCCATCAAGAACGAAAAGGGGGAGGTGGTGCTCTTCCTCTTCTCCTTCAAGGACATCACAGAGAGCCGAGGCAGGAGCTGCCCTGGTGACAAGAAAGAGGGTGAGCCATGGCTGTAGAATGGGAGCAGTGTGAGCAGTGGGCACGTGGCAAAGGGGCTCCCTGTTCCCTGGTGGGCAACAGCACTAACTCAGCATGCCTTGTTCACTGCAGAGAAGCAGACGAGTGAGAAGCAGAGGAGCAAGAAGCCTGGCAGCTCCCACCTGAGGGCTGCACGGAGGCAGGGCCGGACCATGCTGCACCAGCTCAGCAGCCAGTTTGCCCGCAGGGACCGTGGAGAGATGAAAATCAACCGTGTAAGGACCTGAGGACCCCCAGTTTCGCGCAGTGCCTCCCATTCTGGGGGTATGATGAGCTGGCAGTGCAGCAGCTCTCCTGAGAGCAGAGCCCAGCCTCACTGGGATGCTGTTCCCATGCACGTCTCTGCCCGGCCTGCCAAGCACTGAAATTCCCCCCAGCTCTGGCAGCCACGCTGTACCCAGGCTGCACTTGTGTTTGCTTGGCAGCAGGAGAACCCAGTGGGTGCCCAGAGCTGCTTGTTGAGACAGCAGAGCTGGCAGCCCTGGCAGAGCTGTGCCTCTCCTCATGTATTCACTGTCAGGAAACCCCAGTGCTGGCTCTGAGCACAGCCACACTGGCTCTGGGGAGTGCTGTTTCCAGGGTGCCAGAGCTGTGGAGCTGCCAGGTGGGGCACAGGCCTGTGCCAGCCCCTTTGCACAGTTCCTGTGCCCAGTATAGGGCACCACCTGCAGTTGTGGGGCCAGAGAGAGGGTCTGAGAGCTGATGAGCAGGCAAAGGATAGCAGTGCACCACCCTTGAATTTTGGGGATTTGGGTGGGATGGCCCTGGCTCTGCCCTCACCTCTGCCCCAGCATGTGAGTTGGCACCTGAGATGGTTCCAGGCAGCAGCTGGCATTGCCAGGGGGTCACCATTAATAGCAATTACATTGCATTAATTGATGAGCTGTAATCAGGTGTTCTGTGCCCATCCCTGAGGGTGATCAGGGCAGGAAAAGGGCATCATCACCCTGGCATCAGGGGTGTCAGCTGGCTGGCAGGACCCAGGGGAAGGGGTGGCTGTGGTGGGCTTCACCCCTCGTATGGGATAACCCCTGTCCCAGCCCATGTTTGCCCCTGCAGAATGTGTTTGAGAACAAGCCATCCATCCCCGAGTACAAGGTGGCCTCGGTGCAGAAATCCCGCTTCATCCTGCTCCACTACAGCATCTTCAAGGCTCTCTGGGACTGGCTGATCCTGCTGGCCACCTTCTACGTGGCTATCACTGTCCCCTACAACGTCTGCTTCACGGGCACAGAGGACAGTCTGTCAGCTGCTCGCAGCACCATCGTCAGCGACATCGCTGTGGAGATGCTCTTCATCCTCGGTAGGTCTGAGCACTGATCCGGGCTACAGGACAAGTGGGGCAGGGATCAGGGGTGATGGAGAGGTGTCTTGGTTTGGAAAGACAGGTGCCTGCTAAGGAAGGCAGGAGCCTCCCCTGACATGGAGAATGTGAACCTCCTCCCTCTGAATTGCTATAAATTTTAAATTAAAGGGCACTCAGGCAAAAATATGGGAGTGGGAAATAACAGTTCTTTAATAGGGAAGAAAATAAAAGGATAAAATAAACAATGCAGTAAACTAAAACAGCACTGCCAGAGTCCTGACACCCTGTGGGTCAGGGTGTTGGCAGCAGTCCCATTGGAATTGTGGCTCAGCCCTCCTGCCGTGTCAGGGGTGGTTCTGCTGGAGCAGGGATCCTGGAGAAAGGTGCAGTCTCTTCCTCTGAAGATCCAGGGGAACAAGAGGCAGCTGCTGCTCTGGGGAATCCAGTGGAGAAGCCGTGCTGGTGTTCCAGAATCTCCAGACTATATCCAGGCAGGAATGCTTGGCTCCCCCCTCTGGGCTCACATCTCCCAATGGGATGCTGTAGTTTTTATCAGCCATGCAGTGACATTCAATAGCTGTTATCAGCAGGTGTGCCCTCAGAGGGAGGAGTGATTGTGATCACTGAGAAAGAGATAAGGAAAATTGCCCACTTGACAAAAGACAACTGCCATACAGATGGTAATAAAACACATCCTGCCTTGCAATCTGGAACAAGAGGGAGATGGGGTTGCTGTGCCCCTGTTGTTGGTCCTGGGCACACCAGAAGTGACACCAGTGGATGCTGGTTCAGCTCTGCCAGCCACAGGAGGGGTGGTGAGGGCTGCTCCTGCTCTCCTGGGGCAGATATCATCCTCAACTTCCGGACAACGTACGTCAGCCAGTCGGGCCAGGTTGTGTACGACCCTCGCTCCATCTGCATCCACTACGTGGCCACCTGGTTCTTCGTGGATCTGATTGCTGCTCTGCCCTTCGATCTGCTCTACATCTTCAACGTGACCGTGGTGAGTGCTGCTGGCACAAACACAGCCCTCGGCAGCAAAGCTGCTGCCCTCCTCCCTGCCCCTCTCCAACACCCACATCTCCTGGGGACACTCGGTGACCTGACAAGCCACGATTATTGGAATAATTACCAATATGGCCAGACAGGATGTGCTTGGGCTTGTCTGGCCCTTGCTGCTGAACCAAATAGCGGCAATGTGGTGATTTCACCTCAGAGACACCTTTGGCTGGCTGGGTCCTGCAGCTGGGCACTTGGAGGCAAGTCCAGGCATGCAGGAGCTCATGTTTACCTTTGCTGGGGAAGCTTTATGGTGATGATGAAGGAAAAGGAGTTGTTCTGATGGAGGGTTTGGATCCAGAGCTTTATCCTGGCCCACAGGGCTCTGAATCCAGCACCAGCTCCAACAGAACTCCCTGTCCTGTGGTTGCTGTTCCTTTGAACCCCGGGGAGAGGGGCAGGGAAGGGGTAGGGAGCCACCAACCAGGTAGGGGGGTAGTCTCAAGGGACAAAGGGCACCTGGATGGCCCATTGTCCCCCCAGGGGTAGAGAACATCCTTTGAATCTGCCAATCACTCAACATTTCCTTCTGGAATGGCAGGACTGACAGACAGTGCTGGCAGGGGAAAGGAGAGGTGGCTGACACACCTGGCAGGGAATTATCAGGGGAGGGACCCGGGGTATCTGAGGCAAACCACGACATCACACCGCAACACACGACCCTGGCTGCCTGCTGGTGTTGGGCACGGGGCTGCAAGGCTGACTGGGGATGAGCTGCCTCTGCCTTGCCCTGCTCCCCATCACCCTCCTGGCAGCTGTGGGGGCCACAAAGGGTGGTGTTGGGGTCCCTTTTCCTCCCTGCCTGCAGCTACCCCCGGTTCCCCTCCCTGCCTGCCCCCCAGACCTCGCTGGTTCACCTGCTGAAGACGGTGCGGCTGCTGCGGCTGCTGCGGCTGCTGCAGAAGCTGGACCGCTACTCGCAGTACAGCGCCATGGTGCTCACGCTGCTCATGTCCATGTTTGCCCTGCTGGCCCACTGGATGGCCTGCATCTGGTACGTCATCGGCCGCCAGGAGCTGGAGAGCAACGACCCGCGCACCTGGGACATCGGTGAGTGAGGCCTGGGGGCAGCTGGGGGCACTGGGATCCCCCTGTGCTGTGGGGCAGCGGATCCAGGGGTGCAGCATTCCTGAAAGTGCCAACCCCAGGCTGTGCTTGGCAGGCTGGCTGCAGGAGCTGGGCAAGAGGCGTTCTTGGGGCACTGGGATCCCCCCTGTGCTGTGAGGCAGCAGATTCAGGGGTGCAGCCCTCTCAGCTGGCTCCTGAAAGTGCCAACCCCAGGCTGTGCCTGGCAGGCTAGCTGCACGAGCTGGGGGCACTGGGATCCTCCCTGTGCTGTGGGGCAGCAGATCCAGAGCTGCAGCACTCCTGAAAGTGCTAACCCCAGGCTGTGCTTGGCATGCTGGCTGCAGGAGCTGGGCAAGGGGTGTTGTGATGGTGTTCACAGGGGTTCTTGGATGAGGGAAGAGATCTGACTCCATGTTTCAGAAGGCTTGATTTATTATTTTATGAT